CCCGTCCCCCCACCGGCACAGAGCTCTGGCTAGACTTTCCCGTTGTCCTTCCTGTGCTAAGGAGCTTCCCCGAAGGGGCGCGTTGGTGGAGGGGGCTAACAGGTTGGCCAGGATTCCAGGCAGGGGGAGAAGGACACTGATTTGGAATAAAGAATTTAATAAGCCTCCAGGGCCGAGGGAGGCACCAAGGGAAGAACTGGATAAGAAAAACAGTGGCTCACCTGGGCAAGACTCCAAGAGCAATTGGTGTGTGTCCAGGGGTGAGTGGGGGCCAGTGAGAGGAAAAGACACAGAGAAGAGGGAAGTCCTCTTTGAGTCACCATCTGCTACCCCAGGTGAGGAATGTGGGGGAAAGGCCAAAGGGGAGGGGGTGACAAATGTGGGGGGCTGGCTGGAAAGAAGCACTGAAGAATAAAATGGAATGTCGTTTTCTGGGAGTTATGGGCTGTGGGTCCCCTCCCCCAGCTCTGCTTCCTTCACTACTGTTGGACACAGGAGATAGGGCAGCCCCGCTCGGGGTGGCACTTTTATTTTTATTTACTTTATTTAATTTTATTTTTTTAGTGAGATAGAGGAAGGGGGGGGGGGAGAAACATCAATGTGAGAGCAGAACATTGATTGGCAGCCTCCTGCGCAACTCCCACAGGAGATGGAGCTTGGACATGTGCCCTGAGCGGAAACTGAACCAGCAACCTTTTGGTGCCCAGGATAATGCCCAACCAACTAAGCCACACCGGCCGGGCATGGTTTTATTTTTTTAATCTGTACTTTCCAATCTTTTCTTACAATGACAAGGTCTGGCTTTTGCAATAGGGGAAAAATAATTGTTAAAAATATTCTTAGCTGGAAAATTCATCCACCAGAATGACAAATGAAGTACTCTTCCTGCTCTAGAGGTGCTCCTGTCCAGAGGTATAATTTGTTCCAATTTTGCAAAAGAGGAAAAAGACAAGTCACACAGCAACTGAAGTGGTTGAGCTAGGAGGCCAAGGCAGGTCCATGTGACTTCAAGGCCAGTAATTTTCCTGAAGACAACATAGTCCGGAATCCACAAGCCTGAACACATTGCTAATCTAAGAACGACTGTGAGGAAGGAGCAAGGCACAGAGAATACATACAACATCATTTCATTTATATGAAGTTCAAAAACGGGGGCTTGCCCCAGTCAGTTTGGCTCAGTGGTTAGAGCGTCAGCCCGAGGACTGAAGGGTCCTGGGTTTGATTCCAGCCGAGGGCACATGCCTCGGTTGCAGGCTCGATCCCGGGCTCCGGTCGGTTGGGGCACGTGGGGGAGGCAACCAATCGATGTGTCTCTCGCACATCAATGTTTCTCTCNAATCCCGGCTCCGGTTGGTCGGGGCACGTGGGGGAGGCAACCAATCGATGTGTCTCTCGCACATCAATGTTTCTCTCTCCCTCTCTCTCCCTCCCTCCCTTCCACTGTGTGAAAAGCNGATCCCGGGCTCCGGTCGGTTGGGGCACGTGGGGGAGGCAACCAATCGATGTGTCTCTCGCACATCAATGTTTCTCTCTCCCTCTCTCTCCCTCCCTCCCTTCCACTGTGTGAAAAGCAATGGAAAAAATATCCTCGGGTGAGGGTTAAATGAATAAATAAACAGGGGCTTGTTCAGCATCACACAAGTAGCAGTAACACTAGAGAGAAACGCAAGGAAATGATTTCTACAAGTTAGGATAGTGGCCATCTCTGGAGGGGGAAGAAAAGGTGATGTGACAGGCTTCTAGGTGGTCGAGGGCTCTTCTAGACATGGTTGCTGGTTATGCGGTATCCAATTTATAACGATGCATTAAACTGTACATATGTGTTTCTTTACTCCTCTGTATGTATGACATATCTCACAATAAATACAATTACAATGAAAACAATTGTATCGAGTGGGGTGCTATTAGCCAGGTGCAGGCACCTGTGACGGCA